GAATAAGCATATCTGGAAGCATTCCCCTTAAGATTCAGGTGAGAATCCAGTTGTAGAATTCTGCTGTTCTCGCAGTCGCAGTCGCATCTGCAATGACAGTCACAGGGGCAACGGCCTTAGGATCCAATGGAATCCTAAGGATTCTTAGGGATTCCTAAGGCATTCTTAGGCATCCTTAGGAATCCATAGGAATCCTTCGGAAACCTTAGGAATCCTTAGGAATCCTGATTCCTAGGGATTCCTGGGGATTCCTAAGGATTCCGAGGGAATCCTAAGGATTCCTAAGGATTCCTGAGGATGCTTAACTATGCCTACGGATTCCTAAGGATGCTTACGGATTCCCAAGGATTCCTCTAGGGATTCCTAAGGATTCATATGGATTCCTACGGATGCCTCAGCCTGCCTCAGTTTCAGCCTCAGCCTCAGCCTGCCTCGGCTTGCCTCAGCCTCAGCCTCAGCCTGCCTCGGCCTCAGCCTCAGCCTGCCTCAGCCTCAGACTCAGCCTGCCTCGGCCTCAGCCTGCGTCAGCCTCAGCCTCAGCCTGCCTCAACCTCAGCCTGCCTCAGCCTCAGCCTCAGCCTCAGCCTGCCTCGGCTTGCCTCAGCATCAGCCTCAGCCTGCCTCGGCCTCAGCCTGCCTCGGCCTCAGCCTGCCTCAGCCTCCCCTCCTCCCCCCCCCTCCCCCCCAGATTCCCCCCCCCATTCAGCCTCACCTTGTCTCAGCTTCGGCCTGCCTCGGCCTCATCCTCAGCCTCAGCCTCAGTCTCAGCCTCAGCCTGTCTCGGCCTGAGCCTGCCTCAGCCTCAGCCTCCTGCCTCAGCCTCAGCCTGCCTCAGCCTCAGCCTCAGCCTCAGCCTCAGCCTCAGCATCAGCCTCAGCCTCAGCCTCAGCCTGCCTCGGCTTGCCTCGGCCTCAGCCTCAGCCTGCCTCAGCCTCAGCCTCAGCCTCAGCCTGCCTCAGCCTCAGCCTGCCTCAGCCTCAGCCTCAGCCTGCCTCAGCCGCAGCTTGCCTCAGCCACAGCCTCAGCCTCAGCCTCAGCCTCAGCCTCAGCCTCAGCCTCAGCCTGCCTCAGCCTCGCCTCAGCCTCAGCCTGCCTCGGCCTCAGCCTCAGCCTCAGCCTGCCTCAGCCTCAGCGTCAGCCTCTCAGCCTCAGCCTGCTCAGCCTCAGCCTCAGCCTCAGCTCAGCCTCAGCCTCAGTCTCAGCCTCAGCCTGCCTCAGCCTCAGCCTCAGCCTGCCTCGGCCTCAGCCTGCGTCAGCCTCAGCCTCAGCCTGCCTCAGCCTCAGCCTGCCTCAGCCTCAGCCTCAGCCTGCCTCGGCGTGCCTCAGCCTCAGCCTCAGCCTGCCTCGGCCTCAGCCTGCCTCGGCCTCAGCCTGCCTCAGCTCGGGCACTCAAAATATGGTACAGGAATGATGGTGTTCTGGGAACACGAAGAACACGAACTGGCCCACAGTTGGCCCCGGGCAATAACAAAAAATGATACAAGAATGGCGTTCTGGGAACACGAAGAACACGAAGTGGCCCAGAGTTGGCTCCGGGCATTCAATCTGTCGCCTGGGAATGGTTTTCTGGGAGCACGAAGAACACGAAGTGGCCCACAGTTGGCTCCGGGCATTCAAAATGTGGCCTGGGAATGGTGTTCTGGGAAGACGAAGAACACGAAGTGGCCTACAGTTGGCTCCGGGCATTCAACATGTGGCCTGGGAATGGTGTTCTGGGAACAGAATCTGTAGGAATCCATAGGAAACTATACGAATCTATAAGAGTCCTGAGGAGTTCCCGGATCCCCCGGATTCCCCCAGCATCCGCCCAGACCCCCCTGGGGAGTCAAGATGCTCTCCTTGGACCCCACTAGAAACCTATCAGTCTTCGCTGTTAGGTAAATACTCGTACTACGACTGCTACAGCTACTACTGCTGCTACTTGCTCAGATACTTCTAATACTACTACTACTACTACTACTACTACTACTACTACTACTACTACTACTACTACTACTACTACGACGACGATTACGACTACGACTACGACTACGACTACGACTACGACTACGATTACGACTACTACTACTACTACTACTACTACTACTACTTCTACTACTACTACTACTACTACTACTACTACTACTACTACTACTACTACTACTACTACTACTACTACTACTACTACTACTACTACTACTACTACTACTGCTACTACTACTACTACTTCTACTACTACTACTACTACTACTACTACTACTACTACTACTACTACTACTACGACTACGACTAC